CCCCCTTTTTTGGGGGACAAATTTCAGCAAGTTGTAAAAGTCTTACGCTTTTCAGCAGCAACGCTAACATTTCATTACACTCCGTGATACCGACTTACCTAAAGATTACCATAATCTTTAAAATGTTACATCCCTTTTTTAAACCTATTCAGCAGCGTCGCCAACATTTCATTACACTACCTGATACCGACTTACCCAAAGATTACCATATTCTTTAAAATATTACATCCTCTTTTAACCTGTTAAAACAGTTAAAGTATAACAAAATAAACGGCTAAAAATGTAAAATGAGTGAAAAAAATTGTAGTTTGGTGAAGTAGTTTTTACGTGAGAAAATCACAAGTTTAAGACACAGTATTAACTTGTTCATGATCTCCTTCGTGCTAAAGCAAGAAGTTCGTTTAACAGCAAATACGCTAACTAAATGTAATACATTATAAAATGATCCTTTATACTTAAAACTTTTAAATAAATATATATGTAACTCATTAGGTGTTTCTAATAACACATCCGTTTTTATGGATATATTTTGATATCAGTTTTATTGGGTACGGGTTGACCTCGTGGGAAAACTCTGGATTTTGGAGCCGTTTTTGAATCTGTGCGATACTACAAGATATTCTCCGCACCTTAAGCTGTGGGTAAGTTATAAGAGTAACTGTATATCCCTTGTGCAAGTTGTTGCTTATCGCCTCCCTTCTCTCTCTGGTCAGCCCCCCAATGGCACAGCGGTATGTCTGCGGACTTACAACGTTAGAATCCGGGTTTCGATACCCGTGGTGGGCAGAGCACGGATAGCCCATTGTGTAGCTTTGTGCTTAATTACAAACAAACAAACTCGTTGGTCAGTAGTTTAAAATTAGAAACGGTGGCAGATTAAGAATCCCAATTTCATTACTCACGCCTAATGACTGTTGTATTATTTTCACTGTTATGTGTGTGTGTGAAAAGTGAAACAGTTTACACCAGATCTTGATGATATTTCGTATACAGGATGAGTTCCTCTCAAGGACCAAATTGTTGTGTGTACATTTGAGATTCGTTGCTGTAAAAGTCGAAATCATTGTGGATCACTGTGAGCAACTTTCTCGTTTTTCTAGGAGCAAGTGTTATATTTGTTGATGGACAGCGGTGAAAGATAAGTGCATGAATATAAAACAGAATATTGTGTGATGAGTCAATCCACACTGACGTAGAACATCATGAGCAGCGTGTGTATTATTTATATGAAGGTTCCTCTTGTTATTTTTCGATTTCCAGGGTGTGAGAATTCAAACATTTACCCACTTTTCAACAGACACATGAAAAGTCATAAAACAACGTGTTGGTGCTTTTACCTTCAAGATAAAACAAAGATTATTGAGCAAACTCCAATTTAGAGAGGAGCGTACCAGGTGAGACAAGTTATTATTCATGGTAAGTAGGCTTGATTTTTTTCCTGCTTCCTGTTGTATATCTTAGACGCCTAACACATCGGGCAAAAGGGGTACATGGCCCCTCCCCCCACTTTTTTTTCAATTAATGTAGTACATACGCTAATATTAACAACTATGTTAAATTGACATAGCGCTCCCATCTCCCCCCCCCCACCCACATCCATTCCCCCACACACACACATCCACTTCGCAACGAAAATTAAGCATACATGTTGTATACTAACGTTAAGTGTCATTAATTGTTCCTCCTAGACTTTTATATATATAAAGATTAAAGTAATATATAAATACATCATAATTAAAACAAAAATATAAAAAGATCATTGAGCATCTGACCTGGAACATGACCTTCTAAGGAGGTTTGGAAACTTAGGCCTTCAAGTTCCTCTGTCATTCCCTAGCCCTAAAATCTCAGTGAGCGCTGAACGAATGGCGATTGTAGTGTTTACACATTTACGTTAACATTCTAACTTCAGACGTTCGAACGCCAAAATATTGCATCCCTTCCCCACCCCTTGCGACCAGAGAGCGCATCAGTTCATTACCCTACAGTATCGGACTTTATCTGGAATTTGTTTTCGCGGTTATATTACCACGAACACAAACACTAAAATGTTATATTACCACGAACACAAACACTAAAATGTTATATTACCACGAACACAAACACTAAAATGTTATATTACCACGAACACAAACACTAAAATGCAGCAATTGTTGTCAGTTTGTAATTTCTTCAGTAGAAACACGGTTATATAGTTGTTCATGTAATTGTACAAGTAAAACAAATTATTATTATTATTCTTTAATACACCCATGGTTTGTTTACTAAATGTTTGGATCTATTTATTTTTCTATCTATCTATCTTTTTAATATTCAGTTATCTCTATATCAGCTGTCAGTCTTTTGTTTTCTGTGTATTCTACTTCTCTCTCTGTCCTTTCTATCAGGCCCGGCGTGGGGGCGTTATAATGTGTCGATCGACCCCACTATTCGTTGGTAAAATAGTAGCCCAAGAGTTGGCGATGGGTGATGATGACTAGTTGCCTTCCCTCTAGTCTTACACTGCTAAACTAGGGACGGCTAGCGGAGATAGCCCTCGTGTAGCTTTGCGCGAAATTCAAAAACAAACCTTTCTATCATTATCTTTTTATAGGTATTGGTTTTCTGGACTACTGGTTTATGACCTTAACATTTCTAGCCAGTTCTGTTTTTGTTTTTTAATACAGGGTTGTTTGTACGTTTTCAAAGTAGCTTAAACTTTATATTTCGTCTATAGCTGGTGTTAGAATCTGGCTAACCATAGATAAATGAGATGGAAAAACATTCCGCATTGTTAACGTTACACCTATTGAACAGTACACTCGGAGCAAACGAAAAGAATGTTATGTTGCTGTAGATATAATACATAAAGCATAACCAAGTTTGTTGGCCACTACTAACGAAGCGATAAATTTAAATACCACATAAAAGAAATATGGCGCTGTTATCTACTCTTTTCACTTCCTGTCGATGCAGTTTAAGATCGACGGATGAGTAACACAAACGTACACCGCTTGTATCTACTTCTCCAAGATGGTGATCGTAAAATGTTATTTTGCTATGGTGAAGGTGAGATGTTGATATTCACGATTTATATGGTTGCTCAGTACTTCATTATGGAATTTTATGTTGCTGCTAGGCATTTCTTTGATTGAGTAATTTAGCCCACCTCTATAAAACTTCATCACAATATGTTGCTTAATGATATCTTTTATGGTCTGTTGTAAAGTACGATGTAAATAAATAATAAAAAGGAAGATTTTCGAACTCTGCCAGCAGCGGCATCTAGCGGTTTAATGTCTAAGCTCTATAGTATATATATCAGTTATGTTCTTATTCTCATCTTTAAATAAATCCAGTATTGTTGATACACTGAAAACAATTTGATTATTATGCTGTAAATTTTTTTTCTGTGGTTTCTGTATAAATACGATTTAAAATATTTAACATTCTGTTCACATAATTTGATCTTTTTACAAGTCCATGAGGAAAGAACATATAACGAAACCAGACATAAACAACAATAACAAATACATTAAATGTTCCAACATATAACTATAGATGTTGGTAGATAACAGAAAGATATAGGCAGGCAGATGGATAGATAACAGATACAGGCAAGCAGTTAGATTGGTTAGACAGACAAATATAGATTTTAGCTATTTTTGAGCAAAAATAACTGTAATTATGGATAGATAACAGGTATAGGCAGGCAGATGGATAGGTTAGACAGACAGACAAATCTAGATCTTAGCTATTTTTCACAAGAATTGTAAACGTTAAATCGCGCTTCAGACAATAACACAGCCACAGTTTAAGTTTCCAAATCATAATGTTTCAACTGTTATCTACAAAATTTAACAATAAACAGAAACAAACATGCCAGTGTGTGAATGAGATACTCAGAACGAACAGTCTCAGCTAGTCTACACATTTTCTGTTATCTACAAAATTTAGCAATAAACAGAAACAAACATGCCAGTGTGTGAATGAGATACTCAGAACGAACAGTCTCAGCTAGTCTACAAACAAACATGCCAGTGTGTGAATGAGATACTCAGAACGAACAGTCTCAGCTAGTCTACAAACAAACATGCCAGTGTGTGAATGAGATACTCAGAACGAACAGTCTCAGCTAGTCTACACATTTTCTTTTCTTTTGATACATATAAAATTAAAACACACAACGTACATTTTTCTTAGTCATCCCGTTTACCAGTCTTGAACACCCGACGAGTCACCAATTGTTCATTTAATTTGATACATTTTTGTAGACAAATAAATAAATGTACACAGACGGACAAAGACAGATGAACACAGAGAGACAGGCAGATAGACAAAGATAAACAAATGAATAGCTTAATACAGACAGACAGACATGATGTCAGGAAAACACGTAGGTTCAATAAATAAATTTAACACAAAAATACGATGACCTATAACCCGAGCGCTTTCGAAAGGCGGACCTTTCTTCTTCAGGGGCAATTAGGATATACAGATGGACAAAGAGAGACAAATGAATAGACCGATACAGACATAGAGACAGATGAATATACTGATACAGGTAGACAGGCAAAGATTGACAAGAGACACAGATGAATACATTAGTTTAATGACATGAAGCTAGCTCGGTGTTTCCATATTCATCCTCAATTTACAAAATACACTATCACAAGAAATTGGAAAATAACTAACATTGATGTATTAATGTGCCAGTAGAAGCATTCCATTGTCACTTTGTGTTACAATTACGAGTTCTACTTTCATCTCCGTCCGTGTGTCTTCACATTTATCATTAACAACCTAAGTCAGTAAAACTTTCTGATGTAAAGTATTGCTATACCGTGGTTGTATTATTTTTTTATTTGGTCGTAAATTCCTTTGTGTGTGTGTGTTGAACATGAGGTTTTCTCATTGGTTGGGTGTGCAGTGCCTTGCTATTGGTTAACAAGAGACCCCGGAAAGTTGTGAACAGGCCTCGAGGTGGTCGGATAACTGAGCATCTTCAGACAGGCCACCAGCGTTGCTGAGAGTGGAGCTGAGGTTGATTGGTTCAATAACTGCGACTCATACTTTCACTTTTCCTTCCTCAACTCTACTGATCCGTTCATAGTTCCCGTGGAACAGCTAGCTAAACGTCGATCTTCCCCACTCCCTCAAACCAGCTATTGTATCACGTTTTATCTCTACTCGAGGTGATTCCATTATTCAGAAATAAAGAATTGTTTATCCCACCTACAGAAAGCTGGAAACACGTGGGGTGAGGTGCGTGGAGACGTTGTCAAGCACACGGCACGTGACTACAACAAAGTGACTTGAAATGGCACGCACAGTTGTCAGTTTTAGGTAAGTGTGCCAGTTTTTTCTTTCACGTTTACCGAACAGAGCGATGGAGTTTATCCTACAATCGCGAGTTTAAATGTACACAAATTTCTATTCAATTTTTAGAGAAGGGGTACTCCATAGTCACAAAGTGACAAGCGAAATGAAAGTGTCTAAATTTTACGAAACAGTAATTTGTAGTTTTAACATGAACACACCATTTATTATCGCTAACACTTGTGCTAGGTGAGTAGTGGAGGTACACCTGTTACTCGACACTTAATAGAAACATAAAACGTTTTCGTGAAAAACAACAACCAATAATAGAATATTCAACTGTCTTTTGTTTCTAGAGAAAAATCTAGTCAACCACGTCCCAAAGAAATTGTTTTGGTGTTTTTTCGTCTATTTCCCCCATGATTCGTGATCCTATGCGAGGGTTATTAACACTAAAGGACAGCTATATAGTAAAAAATTCATTTTAGTAAAAATAAATATATATATATTTCGAGCAGTTATTCATTGCCAAGTTTCTTTGAAAATTCGCCAGGTGGTTAGGGCGCTTGACTCGTAATATGAGGATCGCGGGTTCGAATCGCCGTCCCACCAAACATGCTTCCCTTTTCAGCTGTGGGGGCGTTATAATGTAACAATCAATTCCACTATTCGTTGGTAAAAGAGTAGCCCATAAGTTGGCGGTGGATGGTTATGACTAGCTAGCTGCCTTCCCTCTAGTCTTACACTGCTAAATTAGGGAAGGCTAGCGCAGATAGCCCTCGTGTAGCTTTGCGCGAAATTCAAAAACAAACAAACCTTAAAACTCGAAACGTCGCAAGTTAAAGGTTTTAGTAAGGGGAATTTTTTCATCACGTATGTATAATAAAAAATGATATGTTAGAAACTAATAATAATTAATGATTTTTATACACGTATATATATATATATATATACTGTTGATATTTAGAAGTGTAAGTGTATTTTAATATTAGACTTATTAATAAATACGTGCCAGTTCGCTACAACAATAGTTAACAATATATTAAACTAATATTGTAGTGTTAAAAAAAGTAAATTTTAAATCGATGGAAAGCGTTGAAAAATAGCAATTTTTAAAACTATGACGATTAATAGGTATTGTAAAAGCCAGACCATGAAGAAAAAGAATAAAAAAATGAGTGCAACCAGAAAGACAAAATGCTATCAGTTACAATGTGAGAAATTATAAACTAAGAAAACATTTAATAACTTCTCACATTATAATGTGTACTTTGATCTTATGTGTTTTATACTTGTTCCTATTTTGTTTTCCTTTATGGTTTGGTCCTTATACTAGCAAGCGTACGCACACCTCGCGCAGCATTTATTTCGTTGGCTTCACGGGGATGGCGAGACGGTGTGCGTGTGCGTCAATCGCTTGACGCGGCGTTAAACGTGACTTTCGTTCGGCGTAGGCTTCACCTATTAAATATTTAAATAGTTTCCAAACTCGAACCGTTCGTCCGATTGCTTATACATTTAAACTCGATATTTGGGAGGTGTACACCTGAGTTTCTCTAGCAAATTTCACTGATATTCGCTCAGCCAGTTCCTCACAGCAGGTTGTAACGTCGGGACATCAGCCGACTTATATAGTTTTGTATGAGAAACATTCTCGGAAAGAGATGATTTTCAGAAGTGTAATAGGTATTTGTTGTATAAGAGAACGAATTAAAGAATAACACGTGCACGTGATTAATAATGACTACTTTTTTACAAGACAGGGGAACGTTTCGAATACCTACAATAATCTCTTGGTTTGCTAGAAAACAAAATTGCCCTCTAATCCACTCAATTTCCTGTAAGACTGTCAGCTCACGCCAGAAAAGGGGCGCGTAGCACGTGAAGCACGTGACTGGTTAGTTGTGAATGGGAGTTCGTCAAATGTAAATTGCAGCTCGTGACGTTCAGCAAGACACGACTGCTGAAAACAAAAAATTGTCTGCGCATTTTTTGTAAAGTTGTATAACAAGTACTTCACAATTTGAACGACTGAAATATCTATAAACGATTTGAAAATTAATTTTTTAATGGTTTCTATTCATTTTTGAAACGTTACACGGTGTCTTGGCGGTAAGCTTCAGAGTTTGAACCACACGACTGACATACAGATTTAACCCATTGTGTAACTTTGCGCTAACGCAGACATAAACATTTAAAAAAGGTACGTGAGTGGAGATAAAAATAAGAATGAAGTGATAGACTCTACGTTTGTTTGATTGGTTGACTTTGAATTTCACGAAAATCTATTCGAGGGCAATCTAATTTTGAAGTGGTAGACTAGAGGAAAAGCAGCTAGTCAGCACCACTCACCACTTTTTACCAACGAATAGTTGGATTGACCGTCACATTATAACGCATCCACGACCCTCAGGTTGCGAGTTGAGTGCCCTAACCGCCAGACCCCAGGCCTAGTTACTTTTGGGCTATGGGAAAGCAGTGCCACCTACTGTTTTACTTTTCTTGAGCTGTAAACGGTTCAACATTCCATCTGACGTAATCCGTGTTTTTGCTTGTGTTTTTCTATTCTGTATCAGAGCAGTAACCGTCACAAGTAAGAGTCAGCCCACAATTACCGTACTATAAATAAAGACTCTAATTAACGTCAGGCTGTAAGGCATGAATGAACCACGCCACATACGGCTGGACTAGGTACTTCGAAGATGGAGACAACGGAAAAAGGTTAAGATGAGCTCTTCCTCAAGTATGTGGTAGAAATAACAACTGCCATCTTGTGAAAAGTAAAGTATCCAGAATATTTACATTAGCCCTATATTGTCAGTGAAAAACATTGACTCTTTTTCGAACTTCCTTTTCTTCTTCTTAGCACCGGAACCCATTTATTTCTAGGATTTGTTAACCTTGAGACTCATACCGAAAAGCAACATCAATCTTTTGAGCAATTCGAAGATTTTACGTAAATCATAAATGTAAATATTCAGATAGCTCCCCTAGTGGTAAGGAAGTACAACTACAAAGTTCTCAGTCGCAGAACTTGTCAACTCTAAGGTTTTATGTTTTAAGCGAGAGTTTTATAACCGTGTGCTTACATGGTTTAGTCAGGTTAGAATGGATATGTAAACAAAATTCAATGTTCTTCTCTTGCATATATATATCAAAGACTTAGGCTTAAGATGTTTTGGATAGCAGACCATCGAACGTAACCCTATGAGCTATATTATACCGTAAAGAGAAAAAAGAACATAATTTTATAGATATTTGTTTTAAACTTGAATCTCCTGTCATCTTTTACTTACATGTAATCTAATTTTAATACATCATATGTTTCAAAACATTGTGTATGTGCCGTTTTTTTTTTGTATTTTCAGAGAGAGTGTCTTTGAAAAACAAACAATTCGTGTTATTTTTATACGATATTTTCGTGCTCATTAATCTATTCCTTATACCGGAACTTTTTTTAAACAAATTTAATAGCGTAAAAAAAGAACATCAGAGACTTAGCAGTAAGTATGAAGGCTTATAACGCTAACAACTGGGTTTCGATACATGCAGTGGGCACAGCACAGATAACCCGTTATGTAACTGTGTGTTTAACAAGAACAAAATAAAAGTATCAAAATTACAAAAAGATCCATCTAGACTTGGAAGGTATTACTTGTAATTTGTTCAGTATTTTTATGCTACATGTATCGTTTAGGAAAATAAAACATTTGGGATATTCAAGTTAAATTCGATGAACTTTAAATTGTTTTTAATTTTGTTTATTTGAAGGATCACTCTTAGTTTTGTTAAAACACTTTTTCATTTCTAAACTAACAGTAGCAGCGAAATATCATTTATTACAAGGTATTTCCAAAGTAATAGTTTTTGGAAAGACAAGAAATTCGTTACTGTAACCTAAGAACGGGTGAGAGTATTTGAAACATTTGGCAGATTCTGTGAAAATGTGTGTGCTGGGCATGGCACATGCTGGTTCGCGTGCCAGAATATGAATAGGAGAGTCCATGGTTCGCGTCCCGTTGAAGCAAAAGCACATTCCGCTGTTGATGCGTTATAAGAGTGACGTTCAAATCCCACTATTCGATCAGAGTTGTCCAAGAATTGGTGGTGGGTGCTGTTGACTAGTTAGCTGCCTTCTCTTTAGTTTGCCAGTCCATAGGTCTGAAATGCATCTCAGGATATAAAGGCCTTTCGTAACCTTGAAAGTGTTAAAACGTGTTTAATAAAGCAGATGAATGTAAGAGCGATATATGAGGCTCATAGAGTCAAAAGAGAAGTTTGTTTGTTTTTATCGCCGTGAATATTATTGTTAAGCATTTTATTTTCCCTAGAGGGGGCCGAAGGCCGCCTGGAGGGGTCACTTGTTTTAACCACTCGCACCTCTATACAGTAATGTGTTGTCTGTCAGTCAGTCAGTAGACACTAAAATGACATAACATAAAGACGTTTAACGTCACAATTTGTACTGTCGTGACGTCAATAAAACGTGCGCATGCCATGAATCAGGAGAAGAATTGTGCACTCTGTAGGTTACAACACAGCATGACGTGTGAACTTCAAAAGTAACGAATATTTTGATTTTATTTACTCTTTAAACAGAACACTTTCGGGGATCCTGCGCAAGTACATCTAGTAATGTATACACATTTTGTGTTATACTGCCACTGTGACCTTCGAGCCAAGTATGTTTTATATGTGTTTTATGGCGCGATTATGATCGGTTTATTGTTAATCTTTTACGGATTGTTTTTTTTTTGTATGGCCAAAATTATCTCACTTTTCTAATACTCTTTAATGAAAAACTTCATTTACAAACTTTAACTTGCAATTCAGCATTGAATCAACATAAAAAAGATACTTTTTTTTAACCTGAGTTTCTAAATCTCCAGTCTTTTCCGCATCATTACACAGATTCATTCCTTTGACCCTCAGTTTTCTGTTATACTTTTAAACCCTTCAGGAATTCGTTTGGCCTAGATTCATCTTCACTACATTTTTTCTGTTGACATTTCTTTCAATCCTCCAGT